CAACGGGCTGCTGGTGCCAGGACATACACTACCGCTTCTGCAGCTGCAGGCAGGTCGGCCATCAGAAGCCGTAGGACTTGGAAGACCAGCACAGTGGAGCCCACCTGCCACCCACCGCGTGCAGGGCTAGCGTGCAGCCCTTAGAGAGGAGCCAGAGGGCTGGGTTCCGGCCTGCTCATCCCAACTGCCTGAACATCATCTGTGAGGCTTCCTGGGGGAAGCCAACAGCTGGGCCCCTCCAGCTCCCAAGTCCCTATTTCACTTCACATGGCCCTTGTCTATCACAGTGATTAGGCGCAATGAGTGTCATTCACAGGTTCAGAAAGAAAGCATTGGGGCAGCTCCCCACCTATCCTGTCTATTGTGTGATATGCTGAGCCGCACATGAGCAGGCTCATCAGGGACAGTCATCGGGGAAATAACGACTGGTACTCTTGAGATCTGCAAAAGTGGAAAATGTCTTGTAATTAGGTGAGTAGGATCAGATGCCTGTCCTGTGGCCGCCAGCAGTGAGGAGGTTCCCACAAGCGTTCTGATCATCCATCGCTATATGAACATCTCCTAATCAGCCTCCAGTAGGGTTGTCTCTACCATTACTTTGCCTCTTGACTGGCTGGTGTCTGTCATACTGCAGTCTAAGTGAGCTTTGTGCGTGGTAACAGATGCCCCTGTCATGCCACCTTCCATGCAAACTTCCCTTGTGGATAATTGTCTTTCCAGCTTTGTGGCACTCCCAAATGCTGCTATCCCTGCTTCCTAACCTGGGTAGAAATCTTGTTGTCTTTTTGTTTTTTGTCTTGGGGTTTTGTTGTTGTTGTTGTTGTTGTTGTTGTTGTTGTTGTTGTTGATTTATTTGCTTTCAGAATTTTAGTTAATTTATTTTTTAAATTTTATATATTGAGAAACAAATATCAATGAGACAGTTTCAAAGCTGATGAATAGGACAGTTTCAATAATTAATACCTTGTACATTATCTTCTTAGTGGTTATCCATAGTACAAGATGCAGACAGGATATCCTGTCCAAATACTATTAGTACAAATCTTTCTTCTCATTGAATTAAGTAGCTGTATATCTATCCTAACTATTCTGTATATACAAATACACAGTGGTCCTTCCTTTGCATCCCCTTTTCTTGATGTGTTGAACTTTAAGCCCTTACAGAATATGAAGAAAAATAATTTTAAAAATAGGAATAAACGCATATTTTTACACAGAAATTTAGAAATCTAACCATATACAGCATTGTAGCACAACAGTCCTGTGACATTTTTTTTTCTTTTTCTTCTGTCTTTTTTTCATTTATTACCCTTTATTTAAAGAAAAAGAAAACTTTTACTTGAGAGACAGTATGGTAATAGTTGGTATGTCATGACAAGAAGTATGTATTTAGAAGACCAGAATGGCAGGCATTCCAAGAGTGGCCCTTCTATTACACATCGCTATCTTCAGTGCAATTGCTTGGTTCACAGGTATCAGCATGTATAGTTAGTCAGGGTGAGAATCCTACCAATTAACTGCTAGTTTCAAAAACCTGCTGATGTTTCTCAGGATCATTGCCTTGCCCATCTTGTACGTATAAATGTATGGCTTTGCCTCTGTCATGTTTCCCAGCTTTTCTCCTTGCCCTCTCCTCATTGTCCAATCCTCAAGTTTTCCTTTTAATTGTATTATACCTTTCTATTTGTAATTCTTCTTTTGAGTTCTTATACTGGGATACAATATGATATTTACAGAGGTGGGTCTGGTTTATTTCACTTATATCTTCAAGTGGCATCCACTTAAATATGAAGGCTTCGAGTTTATCATTCTTTATAGCTGAGTAATACTCCACTGTATAGAAATACCACATCTTTTTCAACCATTCCTCATGTGACAGGCATCTTGGTTGTTTCAAAAATTTGGCTATCACAAATTGTGCTGCTATAAACGTAAGTATGCATATATCACTATGATATGACATTTTCAGTTCCTCTGGGAAAATTCCCAGTAGGGGGATAGCCAGCTTGAATGGGATTTCCAGTCCTAGTTTTTTAAGAAGTCTCCACACTGATTTCCATAACGGTTGCACCAGCCTACACTCCCACCAGCAGTAGGGAAGGGTTCCCTTTTCCCCACAGCCTCTCCAACATTTGTTGTTGAGTGATGTGTTTATGAGAGCCATTCTTTGAGGGGTGAGATGGTATCTCAGTGTTGTTTTAATTTGCATTTCATGGATGGCTAGTGATATGGAGCATTTTTTAATTTCATCCTCTGAGAAGTGTGTGTTCATTTTGGATGCCCATTTCTGGATTGGGTCTTTAAATTTAGGGGCCCTGATGTTTTTTAGTTCTTTATAAATTCTAGAGAGCAGACTTTTGTCTGAGTGCTTATTAGTTAAGATTCTTTCGAAATTTGTGGGTTGTCTTTTCACTTTGTTGGTAATTTCTTCTGACATGCAAAACTTCTCAATAAATAGTGGTCCCAGATGTTAATTATTTCAAGTATTACCCATGCGATTTGATTTTTGTTCATGGACTCTGCCTACCCCTATGTCTTCAAGAGTTCCTCCTACTTTCTCTTCCAGGAGATTTAGTGTTTCTGTTCTGATGTTCAGGTCTTTAATCCATTTTGACTTTAGCTTAGTGCATGGTGATAGAACTGAGTCAAGTTTTAGTTTTCAGCATGTAGAGAGCCGGTTTTTCCAGCACCATTTGTTAAAGAGGCTATCTTTCTTCCAGTAAGCGTGTTTGGCCCCTTTGTCGAAGATCAGGTGGCTGAGTGTGTTCCTAGAGGCCTCTGTATCTGCTAATCTATTCCATTGATCCTCAGGTCTATTTTGTTGCCAGCACCATGCTGCTGTGTGGAAATCTTGAAAGGTGAAGATGGAGTGGGTAACAGCCTCAAGAAGGACCAGCTAGCACTGGACAGCAGGACACTCTCTCTGCCATTGTACTTACTGCCTGCTGTTTCTTACTGCTATCCAACTGTATACTAACTCACCTAAAGACCTCCCAACCTGTCCCCAAATTTCCTAGCTATAGACTACTGTCACTTGATATTCACCAGAGCATTCCAGTTCCTCCACAGGCTCGCTCCTCTCCCTCCCTTCTGTCAGTACTGAGGAGCTGGTGCATGCACACAACATGTTGATTTTTTTTTTTACCTTTTCCTGTCCCTTCCCTCCTCTTCCCCTCTCCATTTCTT